CTTTCTTTCTTTCTTTCTTTCTTTCTTTCTTTCTTTCTTTCTTTTTTTTTTAAGAGAGATTTTTGTTATTGGGTGTGAGCACTCGCCAAAGAGATAGAGAGAGACAGAGACAGAAAGTGAGAAATCACCCCCCAGGGGGTATGGCCACACCACAGTCCCTTCCCCTCCATTCTCACAGGACCTTGGGCACACACACACACACATGCCCGTGGCATGAGTTTTAAGCCACAAGGTCCAGGACTTGAACTATGCTTGACTATGTGGGAATCCAGCAATGTTACCATTATAACGCCTGCTGGTGGCCAGTAGTTTTATTTCTAGTAATTAAATTGCTTTGAGGAGCTAGTCAGTGACCTGGGAATTAAGGAAGCCAGCTTCCACATGGCAAACTGAGTGGTTTGAGGCTTGGACCAGGTGCCTTGAAAAACGCACTGGATGTGTGCCTACATGCCCCAGATCCCAGCAGGATGGAGAAATGCAGGACTGTAGCATGACCTCATCCCTTTAGAGAATGCTTCTCCCTCTCCCTCTCTCTGTTCCTCTGTTGCTCTCTGGTGAGTGCACAAGCCCTCTGTCAAACTGAAAGAGAGAAAGAAGAGAGAAAGAAAGAAAAAGAAAAAGAAAGAAAGAAAGAAATAGAAAGGATGGAAGAGAGAGAGAGAAAGAAAAAGACAGAAAGAAGGGAAGAAAGATAAAGAAAGAGAAAGAAGGGAAAGAAAGGAAAGAAAAAATGAGAAAAGAAGAAAGAAAGAGAGAGAGAGAAAGGAGAAAGCAAGAAGAGAAAGGAAGAAAGAAAAAGAGAAAAGGGAAAATGGCTTGAAGTGGGCAGAGGGGGTGACATTAGAGCATCAGAGCCCAGGGGGGAGACCCGGGTCCTCTGTGCGCAACTGTCTAATTGCAAGTCCCGGGCCCGTGAACTCAGCCCTGGACTCTTTCTCTGCTCCATCATGCAGATGATCCCTTTCTGTAGCACTCCACAGACACTCCCTAACCATGACAGCATCCTTTCCTCGACTTTACAAATACCCACAACAGATGCATCTACTGGCCCTGTCCATTGTGAAGGGCGGGGTTGGGCAATGGCGGTGCGTACAGAATAAGCAGGCAAGGGACATCCATTTCCCTGTGTATCTCTTTTTTCAGAGGCAGGTTACTTTAGAACACAGGTTGCCAAACTATTTCTGTCAAGGGCTGCTAGTAAATATTTTTAGGCTTTGCAGGCCACATACTCTCTTTCCAAACCATCCACCTTTGGCATTGCAGCATGAGAGCAGCCACAGACAATACCCAAAGCTAATAAGCATGGCTGCGTTCCAATCAGACCGTATTCATGGACACGCGGATTTGAATTTCATATCATTATCATGTGCCACAAAATACCACTCTTCTTTTGTTCTTTTTTCCATCTAGCCATTTAAAACCGTAAAAAGCTCACAGCTATATGAAAACAGGTGGTGGGCCAGATTTGCCCATGGGCTATAGTTTGCTGACTCCTGCTTTAGAATATTCTATAAGGATCTTGTAGTTTGGCATAGCAGGGCCCACGTGCTTTCCCACCTCCGCCTGGGTATGGTGCACATGAACCGAGCAGCTCATCTCCTCCCATTATCTGGGCATGCTCGCCTCCTCCGCTGGTATAGAAAGCACATTGTATAGCCTTCCACAGGAGGAATTGACCAGATCTGTGATGGTGCTTATTTCCTTCTAGGGATAGGGTGGTCAGCTACACACTTGGCCGCAGGCTTCCAACAGATCATGTGAGTGGACAACTGCAATTCCGATTTGAGATCACTTCCTCCATCCACCCAGGTATTTTCAGCATGAACTTCATGTCTCGTCCTAAGCTAGTGTCACAGTGCGGTTCCTCTCTCTAAAATGCAATAACCGTGGTTCTCTCCAGACGTGTCCTAGGTTTTGTGGTTTTCTATCTTCTGCGTTTGAGGTCCAGAAGTCTGTGCTCTTATTCTAAAAGCCAGGTTGCTGTCTTTGTGATTGAGAGGCTCCTTTTCATTCTGGTGACCCAAAGGTAGAGGTTAGACAATTAAATGGGGTTGACGATGAGGCCTAGTGAATATACAGCCATGTCTTGCTTATAATTCTACTCCCAGCACCCACATAGGAGGTGTTCAATAGACATCTAATCATTGCATACATGAGCAAATGAATGAACGGGAAACCTCTCTTCCTACCAAGTAGCTAGGTATTAATTAGAAGGTAGCTGAAGAATAACTTATTGCTAAAGAATTATGGTTATACAATGAATTTTTACAGAGAGAAAATTTAAAACATAAACTGGACAGAAAAGCAGACTAATTCAGTGCTCAGAGTTTCATGCCAAAACATTATTCCAAATAAAAATGCTTCATAATTTCGCTTTCCTCCTGCAACTCCCATACTAAATGTAGATCACCCTAAAAATTATTAGGTCCTCCTGGGCCACATTTAAGAGTTGCTGTTAAAGCTGCTGAAGGTTTCGAGAGCTGAGAGTCTGGAGTTTGTCGTTACCCACGCACTACACTCCTGTGGCACTTTCCTACGTCCAATCAACAACTCAGGCTGTAAGAAAATATCTTAGTTGCCCCATCCTTGCAAATTCAGCCATCTGCTACACTACACGAACAAAACTGAGTCTCCCTTCCGTGTAGCCAGAACAGCAGAAGAGCTGCCCACCTCTGGTAGGGCACGAGGTATGTGGTTATAGCCATAGCCGCAGCAGGAGACAACGGCCCAGTGTCTGTGAGACCTGAAGGGGCTGGGGAGCTTCTGGCCCTGGACTGCTCCAAAGCTCACGAAGGGATTGTTTTTCTTGACGATGAATTGCACTAGGCACTTTAAGTGTGGGAGTTCACATCTGGCAGGGACCAGTAGAACAGCTGGGGGAAGGTAGAGTTAGACAGTGGTTGCTACTCCTTGAATGGCTGCTTGGGGTAGAGATCTTGTTTATTTCTCTATTTCAATAAATTTCAAATAAGGGAAACCTTCAACATAAGCTACTGAATAACGGAGATTCCTGTCATTGAACCTCTAGCCATTTTCCTCTCCCCTTGCCTAAGGGTCTTGCTTACCATTCCGCCCCCTGCAGGACTCAGACATAGGAGACATTCTCAGCAGGTGTTATTAACTTTGCCAGGAATCATGGAACGTAAACACATCACCATCCCATCTCTGAAAGTCATTCATGTAGCAAACATTGTTGAGCACCTTACTATGTGCCCAGAACTGGGGTAATGCCTGGCTTTGGGCATTTTAAGTAATACTAATACTAATACTAATACTAATACTAATACTAATACTAATACTAATAAATACTAATACTAATACTGATTTTCCTGAGACAGAATTCTGAAATAGATCCACGACAGCAAATTACCGTTCACATAATGAGAACTCATTCTTACAGAATTTTGCAGCAGAGCTCTGGCCAGTCAAATGCCCTCCCGGGAAGGTAGAACTCCCTCAGTAATGGCTTACATGGTTAGCGAAGTAGCTAGCAGCACAATCCGCTCTTTGCGAAGGAATGACAGGTGTTGCTTCCTGTCCGCAGATGACGAGGAGATGTCCCTGAGCACCGAGCCTGAGTCAGCAGAAGTTCAGGACAGCCCCATGAACAACCTGATGGAGAGCAGCGGTGGGGAGCCTGTGCACGACGCCCAGGAGCCCTCAGAGAGCTCCAAGCCAGAGCAGCCAAGTGAGGGCAGCGCCCTGGACAGTCCGCGGGCCCTGAGCCTGGAGCTGGCCGTTGAGGAAGAAGCAGGCGCCACCGCGGCAGGAGACGATGGCCCAGGCTCTATGAGACCTGAAGGGGCTGCAGAGCTCCTGGCCCTGGCGCAAGAGGACGCCCAGCCTGCCCCGAGTGCAGAAGAGCTGGCGGAGAGACTGGACCTGGGTGAGGAGACTCCGTGCACGCTGTTGGAAGGCGGTGAGGTCCCGGCCTGCCTGGAGGAGTCCCTGGAGGAGGAGGCAGGCACAGAGAACGGGGCTGCAGGGGAGAGGGAGGAGAAGGGTCCCGGGGAGGAAGAGGAGGAGGAAGGTGAAGTACCCACCCTGGAGCAGGGAGAGGCCAGGCTGCAGCTGCGGCCCTCGGTGAAGAGAAAAAGCAGGCCATGCTCCTTGCCTGTGTCCGAGCTGGAGACGGTGATCGCGTCCGCCTGCGGGGACCCCGAGACCCCACGGACACACTACATCCGCATCCACACCCTGCTGCATAGCATGCCCTCGGCCCAGGGCGGCAGCGCGGAGGATGAGGACGGCGTGGAGGAGGAGGCCACCCTCAAGGACTCCTCGGAGAAGGATGGGCTCAGCGAGGTGGACACGGTGGCTGCTGACCCGCCTGCCCTGGCACAGGACGGGCCTGAGTCCGAGGGGGCGACTCCAGGCTCGGCGCCCCTGGGCCACTCCCCCGGCTTGGCCAATGGCGCCGTCCTGGACGGCGACACGCACCCCAGCACCGGGAGTGAGAGCGACTCCAGCCCCCGGCAGGGCGGGGACCACAGCTGCGAGGGCTGTGACGCGTCGTGCTGTAGCCCCTCCTGCTACAGCTCCTCGTGCTACAGCACGTCCTGCTACAGCTCCTCCTGCTACAGCGCCTCCTGCTACAGCCCCTCCTGCTACAACGGCAACAGGTTCGCCAGCCACACGCGCTTCTCCTCGGTGGACAGCGCCAAGATCTCCGAGAGCACCGTGTTCTCCTCGCAAGAGGACGAGGAGGAGGAGAACAGCGCGTTCGAGTCGGTGCCGGACTCGGTGCAGAGCCCCGAGCTGGACGCCGAGTCCACGAACGGTGCTGGGCCGTGGCACGACGAGTTGACCGTGCCCGGAGGGAACGTGGCGAGAACCGCCGAAGGTCTGGAGTCCCCGGTGGCAGGGCCAAGCAGCAGGAGAGAAGGTTAGACCTCAAACCTGAGCAGAGTGAGAATAAGACCTTCAGGGGGACTCGGGGCTCATCGAATGGTTTGAAAACAAGGGGGAGGGGGTCCTTCTCCAAAGCAGTTGCTGGGGGGGCAATGTGTGCTGTCCCGTGTACATGTGCGTGTATGTGTATATGTGTACATGAGTCTAGGTGGCTCTGGACAGCTGACACCCCAGCACATCTCAGGGACACACCTAGAATCACAGGTAGTGATGTGAGCATGGACTTGGTGTTAGTCTTCACCAGCCGTCAGAAGCAGTTCGTGCACATGTCATCATTCTAGGCTTGACAGCAACCAGAGCCCCAGAGCAGTATTAAAATGATGGAAATAGGAGGTAGCCTCTCTGCTGACTTCCCAAAACACATTGAAGATTAGCAATAAAGGTTAATAGCAGTTAAAGAGCTTGGATTTCTACCTCTGGTTTAGAACTGAACTAGGCCACGTGCCTGTGGATATGTGTACATACGGGTCATTGTTTCTGTCCACCCAAGTCTCCTTAGTACTGGGTTTGTTTCATTAGTCCCCTTGCCTCTTTTGGCTATTGGAAGGGAAGAATAACATGACTGCACAAATTATTTCAAATAAGATTCTAATCCAAAAGCTGCCACCTTTGTAGTTTTAAAGCGTATTCTAGAATATGTTCTAACCGAAGATGTTTCTTAGTCGTGCCTGTGGAATCGTATTAATTTGCTTTTCTTTATCCAGGCCTGGGGAAACATCTTCCGGTCAAGTAACAGTGGTGTAGAGGGAAAAATTAAATGTCTCATGATAATATGAAATAATTCAGTTGTTCTCAAAGAGGGAAAATATAGAGTGCTATTTTGCTGTTTTAGTCTCCAAACAAAAGATGGTCTCTCTAGATTGTAAGCTCATCAAGGGCCAGAACTGTGTCTTCTTTATGTTTGAATTCTTAGCAGCTAGACAAATACCTAATACCTACACATTTTTTTGAACTAGAGTTACAGTGAGCATAAAAAAAGAAAAAAAACTTTAAATATTCAGCAGTGACCAACTCTACATTTCAGTGAAACAAAGAGTGAGAAGTTGACTCAGTGTTGAGAAGCATAAGCCAATCAATAGAGAAAAAGAAAGGCAGGAAATGCAGAATGCAGCCTTGAGAACTGAGAATGGCGTAATTCCTTTCTTAAACAAGAATGTGTTGAGTACCTTCTTTATTCTAGGCGAGATGGGAAGATGGAAGGTTCATAATAATTCAAACATAATTTAAGATAATTACAACTTAAGGAGATACGAGAATTCTTATAAAAGGGCACCCATGGAAGTTGGCAGAGATATATTGGGCCAGAAATCAACAAACTTATTCTATAAAGAGGGACGTAGGAAATAAATTTCAGGTTTTACGCACCAAGTGGCAAAATCAAGCCACCGTTTTCACCCAAAGACTTTTTTACCACTCTGACTCTAGAACCACACAACACATGTTTTAGCCGATGATATTTTGGCCCCCACACTGGGAGATAATCCATAGGTGACTAATTAAAACTTGACTTAGAGTCCTCATCTGGTTTTTTTGTACAGAAGTACGTGAACTTGAGTGATTTTGTAAACACAGACGTTTATTGACAAACTCACAGAAAATCCAATCCTACGCCTACAGCACGGTCAACAGAGAGGATCATTGGCACATGCAGAGAAAGGGCTATTGACTGAGTTCTAAATACCAACCAGCTCTGGGGAGAACTAACTCCTTTCTCACAGAGCTGAGACTCATTGGGTCCCACGCGACACCATGAGTCTATTCACGAGACTGCTGCCTCCATGCCGTGGTCACCATGAACCAAGCCCTGCCCTCTAGGCCTCACCCTGGGCCACTGTGAAGGGATGAGGTTCTCACTCTGTACCTTTACAGTGCAGTCGAAACAGGCAAGTCCCCACACATGAATTTCTGAAGGGTATACTAAAACCATAGCATTCTGTACAAATTTACATAAAAGCATATTTTATGAAGAAATAATTGTCCATGCCCTTGAAGGGCTAGTAACCCAACCATGGGAAGATCTGGAAGGCATTTCAGGGCAAAGCAGTTTGAAAGAAACTTCTTTATTACTGAACTCCAAAGGCTGTAAACTCAGAAAAAATTTCGAAGACCAACAGAGGCCAGCAGGTAGCGTAGCAGTTAAGACACTGGACTCCCACATCACTGACCATGGGTCAAGTACCCAACCCCGTAGCTTGAAAATCACACCAAGCGCATGTGTGTGCACACTCCGAATCACCAAAGGAGAATGGAGAAGAAGGGATTGTGGTGTGGGCATACCCCACACCCTCCCCAGGAGGTGATTTCTCACTTTCCCTCTCTCTGGCCAGTGTATGCACCCTATAGAAAAAAAAAATATATTATTTTTTTTAATGAAAACCACCTACAGACTTCACTATGGCTATTACAGGGGTAAATACAAAGATTCCTAAGAGGGACAACCGATGTCATGAAGGCCGTGAAAACACTGGTCCATCAATTCGCCACAGCCAGCCTTCCCGGCCTCAGCAGTGCATATGCTCAAAGAACAGGCTTTACCTACCTGCCTCATTCATGCATGTGAGGGTGCCTCTCCTTCCATAAAACTCACTGTTGTCCCTTCTGGCGACCTGTAAGATTGAGAATTATTTCACTATAGGGACTGCATCAGCTAGCCAAGGGAGACTTACAGCGTACACGCCCTCACAGACAATCCTGCAGCATTTTGGAGAACACTGTTTTAGAACATTGTTCAACTCATTATAAATCTAAACTGCATCTATGTAAGCTACTATTCTTCATCTACTTTTTGCTTCTCTTCCCTCTACAAAAACCTCCCTTTTCAGGCCAGCAGGTGGCATGGCGGTTAAGGCACTGGATTTCCACATGGCCAATAGTTATTTGGGTCCTGGACCCAGTGGCTTGAAAAGTAACACTGGGCACATGTGCGTATGTGCCCAGTATGCAGCGAAGAGACTGAAGGAGAAGGGATCGTGGTACGGCCATCCCCTCAGGGGGATGCTTTCTCATTTTCCCTGTCTCTGTCTCTGGCAAGCACACTCACCCTGTGGCAAAAACTTTAAAAAAAGAAAAGAAAAGAGGAAAGGAAAGGAAAGGAAAGGAAAGGAAAGGAAAGGAAAGGAAAGGAAAGGAAAGGAAAGGAAAGGAAAGGAAAGGAAAGGAAAGGAAAGGAAAGGAAAGGAAAGGAAAGGAAAGGAAAGGAAAGGAAAGGAAAGGAAAGGAAAGGAAAGGAAAGGAAAGGAAAGGAAAGGAGAAAGGAAAGGGAATAAAAGAAACCTCCTTTTTCTTAGGCTCAATTTTAAGTAGTTTCTAAAAACCTTCTGCACCTGAATGAAATGAGCATATACGATTGTGGTTATGAGCTCAGGCCCTAGAGTCAGGCCTCCTGGCTTTATATTCAATTGATCCACTTCCTCGCTAAGTTACCTAATGGCTCTGGGCCTCAGTTTCTTCCACTGTGCAAAATGAATGTAGTTGTAGAAGCTTCCAAAGGTTAGCGGGGGGATTAAGATGATTCTCTGAAACACTGTCTCTCACAGAGTGAGTGAGGGTTCTTCCAGGCAGATAAGCAAGCAGCTGACTTTGAAAGTCCTATTATGTTAAAGTATCCAAAGCAAGCTTTTGAATTGGCATTTTCTGAACTACGCTGGTCAAGGAAAATTTCCATATTATTAGGTTTACATCACTTTGCTTCACATACAATTCTAGGCAGCCTATCGTTCTCTACAATTTGGTCATACGTTCTATAAACAGAACAGCGTTCTAAAAGACCTCACTCATTTTTAGTGGGGGAATAGGTTTTCTTCCCAGACATCCTGGCAGGTCTGAACGCTTGCTCTATGTTTGAGGCGAGGGTAATTATGTGGTCGGGGTCCTCGTGAAAAGCAGAATCGCTTGCTTCCTCTGTGTGTGCTCCATCCATTCGATCAGCAGAGACATGTCAGTCACACCATTGCATCTGCTTGGGGCTCACGAGCAGGTGGGATCAGCTCCATTAACTCAGCAATTTCAATATTATATTTTCACTAGCTTGGAGGAGTAATCAACCTGATTGGTTGAATTAATTGCAAAGAGGTAAGTGTTGTTTTTTAAGAAACTAAGTTAAAAATGCAGCAGCTGATGACATAACAACTGTACCATTGTTTCTTTTTAATTTTTTAAATTTTTGACACTAAATATATATATATATATGTATATATATATACACATATATATATATATATATAAACGTGAGTGTGATGTCCACTTAAACACAGAACCCATCTTTGAAACTGCAGCCTGTTCACAATGAACTGTGTCCTGGCCTGAGGGAAACATCTCGATTTCCACTAGAGTCTATAAAGTCCCAGAGGATTTGAGAAACATACCAAAGTTTGCACAAGAAATAGCATTTTATATATATATCCCTTTATTCCTGAATATGTTTCTATTCTCATTGTCCAGTTAGCAGAAAGAATTAGATCCCTAAATTAAACTCACTGACTTTCTCCTGAGTTAATATATTTTTATTTTTTATTCGCTCTACAGAGCTAGAGTGCGAAGAAATAATCACCCTTACTGTGTTCGGACACTGTGGGACATATTTAGCTTTGTAGGGCAGAGGAGGAAAAGGCGCGGCATTTGTCCTCGGCCAGTAGGGGTTTCTTCTAGAAAACCAGCATGATGCGAGGCAGGAGGAAAGCAGTTAGAGTGCATCTGTCTTGTGTCCTGGGCCTTCTTCTCACAGATGGATGATGTATTGCCAACAGCTGGTGCCAGAGGCTTCCCAACCGTATGCCCCTACCTGCCCGAGCACACCGTGAAACAGGAACTACGTTTAGAGCACCATTATTGGTCCGAAGTGACCAAGATATGAGTGATGTCTGTAATATGATGCACGCATTCTATGGAGGTCACATTCATTTCTACAGTTTCTCCATGTCTGTCTTTCTTCCTCCTTCTATCCCACTCTGTGTCTCGAGTGTCCCTGTCTCAGTCTTCCTGCCTTTTATCTACTTCTCGTCCTTGTCCTTTCCTCTTTTCAGAGCACCATGGCTTGTCCGATTTCTCCTCAGAATAATCTGGAACAGTCCCTAGATCCCATAGCACCTTGATGTCTCACCCCTGCCCCTAGCCGTCCTGCTAAAGGAATTTACCTTCTTGACCCACCACCTCCTTGACCCATCTCGGAAGGGCACCATCTGAAAGTTTCATTCCCAGAAAGAAAATCTAAAGAGTGACCTCTTGGCAGCTCTCTAATGGAACTATCCACAGAAGGTATAGTTTTGCACAAGCCCACTGAGCTGCTATGGGACCTTATAAATGCTGCATGTCCCTCAGACAGGTCTGTTTCCTTCGCTGGGCTAAAAGCAGACTCTGCTCATGTTCTCTTGGGCTCCTTTCGGACGCCACCTTCCCCCCCCCAGAAGATGCAGGTGGTTACAGAATTGGACTCTGATCCTACAGACTGGACTGTGTGGCACTGTCATGAAGTGTTTAGATTTGGTTTTTTCTCTTTCTTCTTCTTTTTCTGTTAATAATTCCCTCTCTTATGAGTGACCGTGAATGTGGCCAACTGATACAAAAAATAGATTTCCCACTTTTCAGGGCTTTTTTCTGGTAGTAGTTTGTTTGACAGCCGCTTTTTTTGATGACGTTGCCACAGTACTGAATGAACCTGAATGTCTCGACTATCTTGTCCTCAGGTGAATGTCCTATACTCCATAATTCCCAGCCAGTAAGCCAGCTTCCTTCCTTGAGGCCCGAACATCATCACTACCCAACAATCGATGAGCCTCTTCCACCAAGTAAGCTTTAGTTTTTAAAATCTGTCTTAACTCTTCCTGTCAAGTTTAAACAGGTCAGTATGAATTTGTATGTAAACATCTGAACTCTTCCCTAACTCCGTACCAGACACCGTTATCAAAGCCTGATATGGCATCTACTGTAAAAACTGGTGTTTTCGTTTCGTTTTGACTGATGGTTTCAGCATATGATCTTGAAGAGAAAACCCGATGTTTTCAGTGTCCCTCAACTACCAAAATGTGGAGCATTTCCTTACAAAATTGGACTAATTCTTGCAAACAGTTCATGACCTTTAAGTCCCCAATTTTACTACTTTAAAATTTACAGTTCAGGGTAGAATAACCCTACTGTTCGCCATTAAATCTGTTACGTCACAGGCATCTCCATATAATAAAACAATTTCAATCCAGGGGGCAAAAGAACTTGCACTCTTATACCCTAGCCTGCATCCACAGTTGACAGTTTCAAATTTCTTCTGTCGATCTTTGGGTTTGCCAGGCAAGATAACATCTTTAAGTTCGAATTTGAAATCATTTTCTTCTGGAAACTGTAGTATGTAATTAATAACTGTCTATTCACCCGAACTTGCAAATTCATTTAATCTCTCAGAGCCCTAGTTTTCTCGTTTGTAAAATAAAATGTCAATGCCCTTATTTGCCAAGCTCTAGGTGTGGGCTAGGTAATCTCAAGACATCACTCCAGCATCAGCCTTATGATACTCCATTTACTACATTTAGAAGAAGGAACTAACACCTGAACTGTTATATAGTCACTTCACATCACAGATGTTCCAGAACTCTCGAACTTCTCTGTTTGGGATAAGGCTTGTTTTTCTAGTAAAGATAACCTTTAAGATTTGATAGATCTTACAACTGCAGAATCCCTCCAGGATGCAAGGAACCAGTGTTTCCTTACATTCTTTTGCTTGTGCTTACACTGAGCAGTTACACTCTCCAAAAGGAAAAATGCTTATCTCTTAATTCATCTGATCTTGGTAACGTAATATATCCTGCGTTAGCTCCGTTCTTCTCCCATTCAATGGTATCGGTGAAGAAACAATGAACAACTCTAGTATGCAAACCAACTTCAAAGAATGCCGTATTTGTTTTACGGGGCCAAGGCAAACATTATGTCCTCTAACCTTGACACCTGATTTTTCTCCCTTACTTATACATTGATTTATGCAAATTCCATAAATTAATAGTGAAACAATCTATAAATACCTCCTACTTAAAACTTCCCTGGATGCCAGCAGGTGGTGTAGTGGTTAAAGCACTGGATTCCCATATGGCCGAGTGCAGTTCAATTCCAGAACCCAGTGACTTGAAAATCATTCTGGACACTCGTGTGTGCATACCCAAATCCCAATAGGAGAATTATAGAGAAATTATTGCAGTGGGGTATGATTTCTTACTTTCCCTCTCTCTGTCTCTCCCAGGCAAGCACATGTACCCTATGACGAAAACCTAAAAAAAAGATACTTACCTGTTACCTGAAAACTATAATGTTTTCTCTAGAAAAGGGACACTTTTCTTTATAACGATCTTTCAGTGCATGTACACATGAATTGACCTTCAATCCATGTAACAGTAATAACTGTCACTATTACACATAAGAATAGTTATATGTGGGAGGGGCTGTTTTTAAGTTTATTTTATTTTATTTATTTATTTCACAAGCAACAGAAACATAAGAAACACACACACAGAAGCAACACCACTAGCAGCATCTGAGGACCAGTTTCCAGCCCCCAACCTTCAGCCAGCCCCAAATCATGGGAGGTGTGAGATTGACATACTCAGGGAGGTTCCCAGACTTGAACCAGGAATCTCGCCATGTGAGACTGCCTCGTGAAGCATCACATTTTACTGCTACACCATCTTCCAGCCCCCTAGCTCAGACTTTAAAAGATTTTTTTTTCTGGTAGCTCCATAGGGAGTAAGTTGTAAGAAGGATGGGTAGAAGCATGAGTCTCAACATCAGATAAAGGCAGTGAGCCAAATACAGATAATGGTGGCTTGGACCACAATGAGTAGTGACGGTGCTCACGAGTGCTCAGACTCCGGACATTTTTTTTTCCCCAGAGGGTATGTGTACTCCCCAAAGAAAAAGAAAGGGAAAGTGAGAAAGGACCCCCCAACCCTGGGCACATGGCCACACTGCAATCTCTTCTCTTCCACTTCTCCCTCCTTTGGGGATTTTGAGCACACATGCACACATGCCCAGCATATTTTTCAGGCTCCTGGGTCTGGGATTGGAACCAAGCAGTCAGCGATGTGGGATTCGGCTACCTTATCCACCACGCTACCAGTTGGCCCAGTATATTTTATGGCAGATTGGATATGGATGTGAGAGAAAAACAAGCATCAAGAGTTTCAACTTAGAAAGAGGTAGCTGCTTACAACTGAGGTGAGAAGGGAAGAGTGAGTGAAGATTGAAAGAGCAGGTTTGGGTGAGAAGGATCTGAAGCTTGGCTTTGATCACCAGATAGTGACGCCAAGAGGTCAGTTAGCTATAGGACTCCAAAGTTCAGGAGAATGGTCTAGACTATAAGCTTGTTATTACATTTATTGAAATACTTTCAGATGGGGCTGTCCTCATAGCCTAGTGGTTAGGGAGCCAGATCCCACATGGCAGATGACCATTGGAATCCTGACTCGGTGGCTTGAACAAGCCAGTTCTGTGTGACCCAAATCACCACTCCTGACTCGGTGGCTTGAACAAGCCAGTTCTATGTTTGTGTGTGACCCAAATCACCAGAGGATGGAAAAAAGGAGAAGAAGGGACAGTGGCATGACCACTTTTTTTTTTAATTGCCAAAAGGTACATACACTCTCCAGAGAGAGACAGAGAAAGAAAGAGAGGACAAGGGAGAAAGTATCCCCATCCCGTCAATGAGACATGTCATGCTGCTAGCCCCTCTCCTCCATTTCTCCACCCCATAGAGATGTGGGGCACGTGTGCATACACGCCTGGCCCATTTTCCCCCCAAGTCATCAGGAATGGAATTTGAGCCACCACCAGCCATGTGAGATCCATCCCTTAACCACTAGGCTATGAGGCTGGCTCCCCAACATTTTTTTAAAGTTTGAGGTGGGAAAGACCTGTAGTTTGGTTTTGATCACGGTATACTTGAGATGTCATCTACACAGGGATGTCAAGACATTAATTGGATACGTGACTCTGAAATTCAGGAGACAGGTTCAGGAGACTCCAAGCATTGTATCGAATTTATTAAAATATTTTTAAATGGGGCCGACCTTGTGTCCTAGTGGTTAAGGGAGCTGGCCCCATTTTATAGGTTTTTGTTACTATAATAACTAAAGATGATACATTGCTTAACTTGCTCATAGATTTCATGGAAAACATATAATTTAGTGTTCAATAGGTCTTCCAACTGAATGGACCTGGCTGTTCTTCTGTAACTTGCCCTGGCATCGTGAAGGTATTTTTTCAGGTGTCTATTCAGCAAAGTCAAAGCATCGCAGTACTAAGTTCTTCAGATCATGCTGAGGCCTGAAGTCCAACCTGGGAAGTTTTTCCCTTTGATTATAAAATCTGCGAAAGTAAATTCTTTACAAAGCACCCTAAAAAAAGCACTTGGGACCAGCAGATAGCATAATGGTTACATTGCTGGATTCCCACGTAGTCAACTGCATTTCGAGTCCCAGACCCGGTGGCATAAAATGCATACCGGCATGTGTGCATGCATGCTTGAAATCCCAAGAGGAGAATGAAGAAGGGATGGCAGAGTGGCCATTCCCCCAAGGAATGATTTCTCGCTTTTTATCTCTCTCTGTCTCTCCAGCAAGTGTATGCACCCTATCGCAAAAATTTCCCTCTAAAAAAAAGCACACTCATAATTTCTGATTATGCTTAGCTAATATTTTCTGAATATTTATTTGGCTATATAATCAGCACTGGGCTACCTAGATGTTTTGCTGTGTTGATGAAAAAGCCTATCAGTCTGACTTACAGTCCTTTTCCATGAATGATTTGGAAATACGGACGCTTATGTTGAGAACTTATCAACTGACTGGTTCACTCTCTAGCTTTTTTTTTTTTTCCTTAGAGAATTTATGAGACCAAATCTTTGTGCGTGAAGGGGTCCTTCCTTTACTAGGGGAATCTGGATGCAGGAACTTAAGTTAGGCTGTGTCCTCAGGACCTGGTGTAGCTTCTAGTTCATAGTAAATACCAAACAGAGGTCGTTCAGTTGAGTGAAATGGCATGACATTCTCCAAGGATTAATGTCCATTCTTTATTGGATGATGATCATGTTCTATTCAAGAAAAAGAATTGTCCAATTGCTTTTTATTGATATTTGTTTGGGAACCACTGACATTTTTTAAATCTTGGATTAAAATGAACTATCTAGTAATTGCACATACACACAGTTTCATCAATGAGGTAATTAACATTTACAGCTACAAGTCAACAGCTGGATTATCTAATAGTCAATTTCAGTCCAAACCACTTAGGACATATTTATGCAATTGGACTACATTTTCTCTTCAATTTATTTTATAAGTTACATTGGTCACTTAGAGCATTTTGATTTTCACTGGGCGTTATTTGACAATCCCTCACATCAGACATAAACCATAAGGTTCACAAACAGATATACCATGAACATATAAAACCATACATATGCCACATATGTTTTTTTCAATTAAAAAACGGAGTTGCTATGTCATTACCTGAATGAGAAGTTTTCAACAGAATTGTTAATATCTGACCTACTCCCAAAAGCTAGGGCTTTCCTCAGCTAAAAGGCGGAATGGTTTTTCTTCCTTTGCAGTCATTTTTGCTTTTTCTTCTTTAGTTAAATGCATTTGCAGTGTAATTTTATCATGCTGCTGCCATTTGTACCACATGTTTATGTGTGGACTCTAAAAGCTTTGCCAGTTTCTGTACAGCAGACATGACTCCGCTGTGTTAAGTTCAGATATCAATACATTACTTCCAGCTCTTTCAGTTTTGGGGGCTTGTTCATCCACTTCACCCCAGCCCAGCCCTACACGTATCGTGTAGTGTATCATTTATGCTTCGACCCTTTCAGTTTTTGCTTTTAATTTGGGAAGCAAAGAAACATATCTTTATCTTGGGCTCCCTCTACTGTTTGAGATGGTTATCAACAGAGATGTATTTAAATTTGGTGTTTCTTAATAGTTGTTACTGGTTTGGTTTTGGCTAGCTAGTTGGCAACCAGGTAGGTTGGATTTGCACTGAGAATGTTTTGAAATCCTGTCTATTGAACACTTTCATCCACCCTCTCAGAAGGGGTAACGATCAATAAGGCTTGCAAAATACTAGTTTGGTGTCACCTAAAGTTGCAGATGCAGTATTTTTAGGATTGTTGTTAAAACTAGTTTTAATACAAGGGCCTTTATTTCTTCTGCTGAATCGTCACCCTCTATTAGTTTAGCAAAAATAAATAAATAAATAAATAAAAGATTTCCCAATGTCACAGTATCAACTCTCAACAGAAGGCATTTCCAATCTTCCACAGCTGTTATTTAAATAGCCCACAAGATTTTTTTTTGAGAAAGAAATAAAGTAAACATTAAATATTTTCTGTAGAATTTATTATAATTTTAGCATAGCTCCTATTCAAGGAACTGCAATTTCTATTTATAATAACCCCGTGGAGAATCTGAGTTCATTAAGCTCTTTTCTGGAATGCTCAATTTATGCTAGAGCCCAAGAAGTCCTGGCAGGTGCTATAGGCAGCCTCGAACCAGTGGTGAGTTCTACCTGCAAAAGACCTGGTTTCTATTTCACACGGGTCAGTAGTTTGTCCTTGATTTCTCTTTTTGCCTTTTTATCAAACACTAGACTGGGAAGCTCGAATTGACAGCCACGGGAGGGTCTTTTATGTGGACCATGTGAACCGCACGACCACCTGGCAGCGGCCGACAGCAGCAGCCACGCCGGACGGGATGCGGAGATCCGGGTCCATCCAGCAGATGGAGCAACTCAACAGGCGGTTGGTGATCAGTATGCGATGAGCACCTCTAACACAGGGAGATGGCAACTAAGGAAACGCCTCTTACTCTGACCCTTTTCTGCTCAGACTGCATGAGGGGCCCGGGCAGTAATTAAATATCTGAAAACACCCATTCCTAGGAGGTACTTAGAAAGCTCGATTTAGATGGGTGGCAAGAAACTGAGTATCATTTAAAAATGAAGAATTCTCCAAACTTCTTAATGGCCCAGGATGGAAAACAGTTCTTAACCATGGGCCCATGTCCAACCCCCAGCCCCTGCTAGGGTATCCACCAAGGACATCAGTGTTCCATGAACCTTCCAGAAATTGCATACAAAATTGTACACAGATGCACACCTTTGTGGCCAGCTGGCCCATATCCATCCTAAGCTTCTGAAAAGGGTACAGAATTCAAATAGTTAAGAACAGTCCAAGGATAGATTCCCTAAGAATATAAAAGCCACTTGCAGGGGTAAAAAAGTTTCATAAGTCACTATTTGCATTTCTACCCTGGTATCAACTCTTTAAAATTATTTATCTAAGAACGAAAGCGTGTTTTTAAAACATTTTCTGACAACTGTTTAAAAACGAAGCTCTTACTATTGAGCTTGTAAAGATGTCAATTGTTTTTTAACCGGCAAACAAAACCCCGAACAGTGTATCTTCCCGTGCTTCAGTGTAAGTCATCATCTCCAACATTTTTCAAGACCAGAGTGGCAGCTTGGGACACTTCGGTTGCCAGCAATGCAAACCCCACATGCTGTTTTCTTCATTGATCAAGTATGAAGGTCAAGGAAAAGTTGAGAGGGACTAAAAAAGAATAAAGAACTGAGTTTGGGGGGGGGCACACCTTATTGGTAGTAAGTGCCTTTGACACTTAACTGTGTCATCCAGGAAAAAAAACAATTTAGTGCTATAAAAAACACACAGGGGCCCAGCCACAGGGGCACAAGTGGCAGGTACCGCTGCATGAGGCTGGGGCTATATGAAAACCCTAAGTTCGAATCCCAGATCAACTTAAACATGCTTTCATGCCTGTAATCCTGGCTGAGAGGTTAGCGCAGAGGATCCCAAGGGCGAGACCCTTCCCAAAATACCTACCTATCTCTCTGGCTCTGTCTTTATCTCACTGTCTCTGTCTACCTCTTTCATAAAGACACAAATGGAGCTTCTGTTGTACACAGAGGAGTACTCTTGAGCTCTCTGGCTCTGTCTTTATCTCACTGTCTCTATCTACCTCTTTCATAAAGACACAAACGGAGCTTCTGTTGTACGCAGAGGAGTACTCTTGTGAAAATCTGCAAGACACTGTTTTAAAATTTCTTTAGTATTTAAAAGGCATTTGTTACCATTTTCTCCTGAATGCGGAAGTCATTTACGAGAACCATAAAAGATTGTCATCCACCTCACACTTCTCTATAGTCATTCCCACAAAAAGCATATTACAAAGAAGAACTGGTGTTACCTCATTTTTATTAGACATGAACATGTCAGAAATCCATGGGAAAGTTCTTTCTTGGTGATCTGACAAAACTCCTGTAACTAAAACTGCAGAGCTGTCTTACAGAGACTCTGTGGCGATATCACAGGCAGAAATTGGCCTCTGGGTCTGCCTTGCCAGAACTGATAAGCTGAGATTGCTTACAGGCTGAGAATAGGAGAGTGTCCCCAGTCTGTATCTACAAGAGGTGCTCTTGAACGCTGAACAAAACCCAACAATAAATCTGAAGCAGAAGGAAGCACCTTCACCCATGGCATAAAAATCCATACAAGTTCATAGCATTCAGGTTGTATAATTTAAAAACTGGGTCAGATCTATCAGGAACCACGTCTCAAGAAGTTTTGCAGCCTTTCATGTGTAAATTCTTGTGCCCTCCAGTAGAGCCCAACGCCCTGGGAGAGGCAGCTGGCTTTGCTGAATGGGAAGGTAGTTAAATTTGCACATCCACACATTTCCATGAGCAAGTTTGTTGATGTGCTCAATTGAGGCAATATACAGTGTACTCTGGATGGAAAATCTCATTTTGTATGCTGTAATGATGTACAGTGAATGAATGCAAATAAATAAATTGGAAAAAAACGTTTGCACATCCATCCAGACATTTAAACAGAAAAGGAATATAAGTTTGAGAAAGTGTTTATTTCTTGTGTAAAAGCCTACTTAGGGGAGGTCAGACAACCTTCAGATAAGGACCTAGGCTTTTCAGTACTTTACTTAACCTATGCATTGAAGCATTTAAGGTTTTCTGTGATTCGGCCTGATAAAGACAGCCCTAGAAAGTGTATTACCAGTCTGACATCTGTCTCACATGTAATCACATACAAAGTCATTTTTTTATAACCAGTTATCAGGAGAAATATACAATGATCCCTGTCTCAGAGTAAGATGTGAGAAATACTTCTCTGCAGTGCAAGAAGGAATCTTCCTTGACTCCTGACTGGATGTTTTTGAAAACCAAACGTGTCTGTACAAGGAAGCGTGCAATGATAAACACAGAGTGAACAATTAGAATGTGTCGGCTGTCATAGTGGTTGCAGTGACAGTGTTCAGACTCAGTCACTGTCCCCTCATGGCACACTCTTTTAGGCCTTCATGGCTGACCACATGCTCCCATCACAGGGAGGTCCCTCACTGCCTTCCCCCCAGCTGGAACACACGTCCTCAGGCCACAGGTCGAACTCCTGCACGCCATGGCACCTTCCCAGAATCCTCCACACAAAGCTAGTGACTTCTTCTTCTACAGCCTCACAGTCTCTTTGAAGTTCTTAACCTTCTTGCCTTACTTTTTTGTCGCCCCGTTCCCAGTGCCTAGTGTGTTTCCAGAATTTAGAATTTAATAGGACGCCACACAAGATTGTTTCCTGAGTTAACTCCTATACTTACAGGATATCTTTTGGAGGCCTCATTGATGGCCTATGAAATGTGAAGAGTGTTCCCTTTCCCTTGGGGTTCTGTTCCCAAAAGAGCAGATCGAGGAAGATGAACATGGTTTTCAATATTTCACATCGTGCCTGTTTTCTAAAGAGATTACACCACAGTATCACTCTGCCAAAGCCAACAGGCTCACTAACATCTCATCTTCTGGTTTGTTTTTGCTGATTTAAGAGGTTCTCTTGGTATTTTGGTTCGGCTTTCATTTTACTTGGAAGACAGGGTTTTTGGGGGTTTGGGGGTGGGGTTGTTTTTTGTTTAGTTTGGTTTGGTTTTAGCATTTTTCTTTTTCTTGTTTAGTTTTGTGTGTGTCCATTTCCAAATTAGGTATTCCAGCTGACTTTCTTATCAATTTACATGGCATTTATATCCTAAAAAATTTAACCTTTTGCTGAAAAAAAAAAAAGAAGAAGAGGAAGACATTGACAAATGGACAAGAACTGGTTTTCTGAGCCCCTCTTGCCACTTCAAGCAGGGTAGGCCTCCAAGGCTCCAGGCCCCCTCATTGTCGCTAGAGGGGCCTTGTCACTCCTCAGACTGCTGGGCCCTGCTTCCCCCAGCTCTCCCTGTGCTTCAGGGAAGATCTGGGGTGGGGTCTAGTACTTGGATTTGAAGCTGTAGTCTCAATAAGGCATGAGATAATCAAGACCCAACTGAGGAGGGTGCAGTAGGTTATGACACTGCCGACATTTATTTTCTTCTCCAAATAAGATCGTCTTAACTCGGCAAACTCTCTGCACTTTGGGAAGGAAAAGAGACCACAAGTTGACATTTGTCTAAATCCTCTTCTGGGTATCTATTGCTAAGCAACAAACTACCCTAAATGGAGTGACATTAAACGGTGACGGTCATTTATTATCATTATCATTTCGTCTCATGGTGCTGGTTGGCCTGGGTGCAGCTAGTCCATTCTCCGAGGGTATCCCATAGCTGTAATGAGAAGGTGGCTGGAGCTGGAAATGCACATACCTGGAGGTTGACACTGGCTGCTGGCTGGCACCTTCAGCCAGAACACTTCCTGCGCTTCCTCACAGCATGGCCACCAAGTTCCACCACAAACTGTCACTTACACTATAATAGTTAAAGTATCACAAGACCTGCCCAGGCTCAAAGGGAGAAGATGTGGATTTCTCCTCTTGAGAGGAGAGTAATAAGGCTCTAGGAGGATAAGTGAGATTAAACGTGTTGACCCATTTTGAGAACATGTGACCTGCCATAAGTAATTGAGGGAATGAGCCCAATGGCAGCTTCCTTTGTGTTTGGCAGCCCTTACCCTACCCCAGTCAAGGTCACACACTGAGGTCGAGGTTACAACTTCTCAGTGTTCCCCACCCCACCTGCTAGCCTTGGCTGTATTCCCTAAGTTTCAGCAGGGACAAGATCATAGAGATCAAGATCTACACACTTCCTACCACAGACATGTTGAAATAATGGAGAAACGCAAACATTTCTCCCTATAATTCTGTGGTCTCTCTGCCTGTTTCTCCCTTTCCCATATTTCTCATAAGAGTCCTTCTCAGGAAATACCTCACAGTCCCTGCTCCTGGCAATGATGTTGGAAATATCGGGCAGAGTCTCTCTGAAGTAAAACTTAAAGAAAACCCTTAAACCAGTGATTCTCTAGCCTCAGTCCAAATAACAGTACCTAAAGAACTTATTAGGAATGCAGATTCCAGTTTTGCTTCCATTTCTGTAATTTTAACCGTCACCCATCTAACCATCACCCATCACCTCTTGTAAGTGATCCAGAGACTGCACTGAGAAAACTGGTCTCCATAAGGTCAAGGGAAGACTGGGGCACTGACACAGGAGAGCCTCATCTGTGTGATGTTGTACATACACACACACACACACACACACACACACACATCTTGGATTGTACTTGGAGACCTGGTTATTCCCTATCTCTTGTACACTCACCCTCCTCCTCCTCCTCACCCTTCTCCCTCCACCCTCCCATCTTCCTGGGCACAAGACTCTTATGAGTAACAATCCCCTGGGTACTGTAACTTGTGTCCCTAAGGACCTCCACGTCAGCATGTTCAGACCTACACCAGCATCTTCTCTCCGCATCTGCCCATGCTCCTACCTGCCTGCTTTCAGTGTTGATACCGCTGCCTACATAGTCTGAGAAAAGACTTTGAACTTCATGATAGTCTCTTCCTTCTTCAACCTCCATATCCAGTCAAGCTCTAAATCTATTTATAAAATTATTACAAATTCTGCCACTAAATCTCTCAAATTTGGCCCCTTCTTTCATCCCTCCTGTGTCTTGAGGAAATGAGTAGCTGAATTCTGGTCATGTTCTCTTGATAGGCTGAGAGACATGAGCAAGGAGGAAGTCAAATGGTGAAGAGGAAGTAGAGAGGAAAAGGGAGGAGCAAGACAGTTGAACATCTGCCTACCAAGAAACATGAAGCAGACAGAGAGAGCCATCAGGGGGCTTGGGAAGCATCCTGCTGGCAGATCCCACTACTCTTAGAATTTTTGCAGGTTGCAAGTAATCCCTGTTGCCCACCCCAGCACGCGTAGAAAGCCAGCATGACCGGCCATGTCTGCTGTGTCTAGCAAGGCTGTTAGCAGCTCCAGCTGCTCTTCCAATTCCAGGTGCCTCTTCTCCAATTCATCCTCCACTCCAATGTTAGGTGACCATTCTAAGTGTACACCTGTCCCTGTCTTTCTTTTTGAGCAGCTACACATCACCTAGAGTACAACTCTCAAAGTTGATCCTGGACCAGGAGGACCTGAGACCTAGTCAGAAATCCAAGTTTGTGGACCCTACCTGAGGCCTGAAACAGAGACTCTGGTTAAGACCCTACAGCCTGTGTTCTAACAAGTCCTGCAGATAATCCTGATGCAGCTCAGGTTGGGGAACCCATGGCCTGGAGAACAACATCCTAACTGCTGCCGGGGTGCCCTTTAGGTGCTCACTGCCCCCCCTTTCTGCTGGCTTTTTCTCATTGCTCGATGCCCATGACCTTGACACCACCATCAAGTTTCCTTCTCAGAGCTGTCCAAGGGCACCAGACTTGGCACATGTTATTTTCTCTTCAGAAAATGTCCCTTCCCTGACAGTTACATGCTCAGGTGTCTCCTGTGTTCCCCCAGGTCTCTGACCAGACTAGGACAGCCCTTCACATTGTTAGAGATGGGGTTTTGCACCATTCCCCCCTTGGTTTTATCCTGATTGTGTATTCAAAAGGCAATACCATACTCTAACCCTCTCTTTTGGAATTCCAGCATAGAGCTTGTACACATTTGAAGGATTCGTAAATATTTAATGCCTGGAAAGGTGACTGACTGGACCACTGACTAAATCCCCAATTCAGGAAGAAAAGTAAAATGAGCCTTAAAAGAAGAAAATGTTTATTTGCCTGCCAGTATGCTTTTTGGTATAATATTTTCACATCCTCTGCCAAACTGTATCAATTATTTGTTAAATAAGAATATGTCAGTAGAACTGCTATTTCAGTTCATAAATCATTCCAATAATGTAGAGATCATTCAATATCTTACTTGTCACACTTTAACTTTCTTTCCATAGCTTTATTTTAGACTTAGTCTAATGTTTTCAAATGCAGGGCACAAGCTATTTATAAGTTATTATTTATGGTGATTTTTCAAAAGTCACCTACTTGAAGCTCATCATAGTTTACAAAACAGAAAGTCAAATAATCTGCAGGTCTTTGCCTTGCTAATTGTTTTGGCTTTCTTGGGATTTTAAGTGTTTCTTCCCTGATGTTCAAGATCATTTTTTACAGATTCTTCATCTGATTCAGAGGATTGGCCCCCAACAAGCAAACAAACAAAAATTAACTCTTCTCTTTCCATTTTCTAATGCAAAGGTATCAAAATATTCAGCGAACCATTGCAACAGAGAGGCCTGAAGATGATTCTGGCAGCCAGAGCTGTGAGCAAGTTCCAGCGGGAGGAGGCGGAGGTGCAGGGAGTGACTCGGAGGCTGAATCTTCCCAGTCCACCTTAGGTATTGGAGGAGGGGCCCACGGAATCTGGGATGGCATCCGATGGTGTGTGACCTGGTGGAGATGTGCAAGCCCCTTCCCTACCTAGGTTAAAGATGGCCATGGAATAGACCAGGGCAACGGAGAAAGAGAGAGGGTGCCAACAGGCAAGGGCAGAAACACAGAGCTTCCCACCAGGAAACTGAGGAGACATGGATTCACAGTGAAGAGAAGGGCCTTCTAGAGACACGAAGGCAGATGAATTCTGGGGACTCAGGGCTGAATATGCTCCCATACGTGTGCATCAAGGCAACTTTTTCAGTGACTCAACCATTTGTTGTTAGGTAGATATTTTCCACTTTTCAATTAAACATTCAGTAAAAGTTTAGTCTACTTCAAAGGAGCAATGTGACAACACTAAGAATAATTACTGTTTGCATTTAGAATAAATTCAGTGCTCTTTAGGGAGATACATGAAGACAAAGAGATTTACTGGTGCCCATAATCATTTGTTTTATTTGTTTGTTTTATTTGCCAGAGGGCTCATGTGCTCACCAGAGAGAAGGAGAGATTTAACGCCGCCTAGTGGGACATGGTCATGCTGCAATCCCTTCTCCATTTCACCTTGCTGGGATTTGGGGCATGCACATGTTGTGGGTGTTTTTCAAGCCTCCCATGTTGGGATTTGAACCAAATGATTGGCCATGTGGGATCTGGCTTCCTTAACCCCTGAGCTACCAGCCTGGCCTAAAGCATTGTTCACCTAATTCAGCAGGCTTGGTGTTCCTGCTTTTCCTTTCTTTGAATCTACCAAAGTAGAATCCAGTCAGGAATATTCTGAGGGCCTAAAATTGACTTCTACTTTTTATACCTGCTATGCTATGAGATTATCATAGTGACATCTTAATAATCCACTTTCTTTTTAAATTGAGCTAAATAATGACAGGTTAACTTTCCAAAAGAAGTCTCAGAGAACATTCTGGGTCAACAGACACCAGGATTTTAATCATTTTAGCTATTTATGGCAATGACATTTTTATATGACTTTTTTAAATTATATTTATTTATTTTATTATAATTTATGATTTACTTATTATAATTTATGATTTACTTATAATCATTATACATCTTTTTAGGATACAGTATGGCTTTTTTATTTTTTGAGAGCTTTTTGCTATAAGGCGCATGCACTCGCCAGAGAGACAGAGAGAGACAGAGAGACAGAAAGCGAGAAATCACCCCCCAGGGGGGATGGCCACACTGCAATTCCTTCTCCTCCGTTCTCCTCTCGAGATCTTGGGCACACACGCACACGTGCCCGGTGTGAGTTTTAAGCCACCGGGTCCAGGACGTGAACCACGGTTGACTACATGGGAGTCCAGTGACATAGCCATTACACTAACTGCTGGTCCCAGGATACAGTATGGCTTTTAAAAGTATGTATACAGTGTGTAATAAACATTGAAGATATAAACATACTCAACACCTTCAACATTTAACAGTTGTGTACATTTGAAATCAACTCTATTGGTTATTTTGGAAGTAAATACTGAATTGTCAATGATGTTCTTCACTGTGAAATACAGTTCTAAATAAAAAGTGATTAAAAAAAAAAAGTAGACATGAGGGCCAGCAGGTGGTGTGGTGGTTACGGTGCTAGACTTCCATGTGGATGACTGCAATTTAAGTTCCAGATCTGGTGGCTTGAAACTCACACTGGGCACATGTGCATGAGTGCCCAAAATCCCAAGAGGAGAATGGAGGAGAAGGGATTGCAGCATGGCTGTCCCCTCTGGGGTGGTCATTTCTCACTTTCTCTCTCCCTGTCACTGGTGAGCACCTGTGCCCTATGGCAAAAATCTCTCAAAAAGTCTCATACATTAATAAGGTTGAATTTTTTAAAAGCAAAGATTATCTTAACATAGTCAAGAATAAAGAATTTGTATTTTCCATGCAGAAGATTGTGGGAGATAAGCATTTATAATCTAAAAAGTTCTGTGGTATCAATCATTGGTCCAGTTAAAGACAGATAGAATTGTACATAACAATAGCTTATTAAGAAGTATTAGAAAAATAACTTCTACTCATTCACTGTGAGTTCTTGTAAGACTATGGTACTGTGCTGTGCATAAAGAAATAAATCCTCAAAATACAAAATGGAATTAGAAAGAAATGTTTAAAACTGAAGACATGGTAAAATTAATGATTTAGTGATTCATAAGATTTACAAAGTTCTTGATTTTAACCTTCTTTAAATTTATTTCAAAAAATATTTAGCTACGTATAAGATTTCAGATTTTTCCTCTCTTATCTAGCTTTGTACAATAAATGATGGTTATAATAATAAATATATAAATACGATATGAAACCTGTGGAAACAACTGTCTATCAAATAATTGATGAATTTGTACTTAAACCTGCTTGTGTGTAAAGTAGTTAAATTTGAATTTTTAGCCTTTTAGTTGAGGAATTTAAAATCCATTGACATTCAATGTTATTGATATGTGTGTGGACTTATCCTTGTCACTTTGTTGTTCTTTTTTTGCCCCTAATTGTTTTGTGTTCTCTTCTATTTATCACCCTGTAGTTTCCCTGGTATAGTATTCCTTAAGTATTTCCTGAAGAGCTGTGTTAGTTTTGGTGAATTCTTTCAGCATTTGTTTATCTGGGAATTATTTTATTTATCCTTCTTATTTGAAGGATAATCTTGCTAGGTATAGTACTCTTGGCTGAAATTGTTTTTCTTTTAGAGTTTTGAATATGTACCCATTCTTTTCTTGCTCACATTGTTTCCATTGAGAGGTCCTATGTTAACATAATGGAGTTACTTTTGTAAGTAAAGCTGCATCTCTCTCTTGCCATTTTTAGAATATTGTCTTTGTTTTTGGTTTTCACCAATTTGGCTATGATATGCTTCAGAAAGGATCTTCTTATGTTAAATCTATTTGGTGTCCTTTGTATTTCCTAGATTTTGATGTCCATATACCTCTCTAAATTTGGAGAGATTTTGGCTAATATATTGAGTCATCAGAAAAGTTATGACCCATTCTTGCATAGAAAAACAGAAAAATACATCATGCCTTTCCTGACTACCTAATATCATGAAAGAGATTTTTCTATGCCTTTACCTATATCTTTGCCTTCTGGAATACCTATTATCTATTTGGTTTTTTAGTGGTGTCTTGGATTTCCTATATGTTCTCATTTTTAATGGTTATTCTTCCATTCTTTAGTTGTTTGGACTAAATCAGAAGTTTTGTCTTCAGGTTCAGAGATTCTTTCTTCTGATCTAATTTACTGTTGATACTTTCAAGGGAGGTCTTGATTTCCTACATGATATTCTTTATCTCCAGAAGTTCTGTCTGATTGTTTTTCAGGGTGTCTATCTCTTTATGGAGAGCCTCCTTTAAGTCATGGAAGGATTTTCTCATCTCCTGCTATTGGTTCTCTATTTTCTCTTACATCTCATTGAGTTTTGTTGCAGTGAATATTCGGAAATATTTTTTTGACATTTCTATGATAGCTTGTGTTTTATGATTCTGGATGATTAGTTATTGTGTTCCTTTTGAGGAGGGAAGATATTTCCTGGTTTCATCCTATTTCTTGGGACTCTGCGTTGTTTTTTAATCATCTGGTTATATATTCACTTCCTATTTCTTTAGAGTATGTTTCTGAAACAGTGTGCTTGTCCACTTCCCTCGGTGTGAGTTAGCTCTGTGTCACTCTTCCTCTTCTACTGTGGGTGGGAGCATAGAATCTGCAATGGGAGTTCTGGGTTCAGGTTTTCAGAGGACAGTTTCTCTCCTGCTTTTCCTATCAGGGTGGGGAGAGGGTTTGTGGGGAGAGAATTCCTCCAAAACCTCACTATCTCAAGCATTTGGTTCCTGTATACCCCAACCTCTCTGCTTCCAATGTGAATGGGTAGAATGTAAAGTAGTGATATAGTTCTCATGCAGTCCAACATGCAGCCCAAAGCATGCCCTCCAGTAAATCTCTTCCTCCACGGTAGGCTGGGTGGGAAAATTTCCTGATCAGTTCAGGCTGGGCAGACTTTGCTTTCCTGTTGCTCCTTCCATCTCTGTGACCACAGGAACCAGGTGGTGGTCCTTGAAGGCCAGAGTAGGCCCCCGCTGCCCTCAGTAGACTGAGTGGGAGTCTTTGGCAATCAGTTTAGGTCATCAGCCTTTGCTTCTCTGTTGCTTCTTTTCTCTCTCCATGCGACTTTTTTTTTAATTAAATGCATATACACAGTTCCACCAACAATTTTAATTGCCCACATTCTATCGTTTTTACCAGATATACTAACTAAACTGACTAGATTAGATTATTGTTATTGATTTCTTTTTTGTTCAACCTTCTGAGAGAGATGTGGTACTATGATCAACTAAATAGAAGCATAAAAACCAAGGAATAGAAATTTTATTTGTTTCTCTTTTTATCTTTTTTTTTTTTTTTGGAAAGGTTTTGCTACAGGGCACGCACACTCAATAGAAAGGCAGAGAGAGACAGAGAGACAGAAAGCGAGAAATCACCCCCCAGTGGGGGTGGTGGCCATGCTGCAATCCCTTCTCCTCCATTCTCCTCTTGAGATCTTTGGCACTCATGCACATATGCCTGGTGTGAGTTTAAGCCACCGGATCCAGGACTCGAACAGCAGCAGACTGCATGGGAGTCCAGCAACATAGCCATTATGCCAACTGCTGGTCCCTAGAAATTTTATTTCTGAGTTTGGTATCAGATCAGTTGGCATATACTATGTAACAAACCATTTGTAACTCTGGTGGCTTACACTCACTATGCATTTATTCAACACCCTGCAGATTGGTAGTCTGAGCTGAGTTCATCTGGGTGGTTCCTCAGCTCACTGTTGGGCTCATGGAGGAATCTTTGCTCAGCTGTTGAATGGACTGTAGGCTGGCCAGCCTGAGATGACCTTAGCTGGCGTGGCTTGTCCGTGCTCCCCTTGCCTTCTCATCTTGAAGCAAGCTTGTTCTCATGGTAGTGACAGGGATACAAGAAAGAGAATGGAGACACACAAGCCTCTTGAAGCCATGGCTCAGGACTGACATGTGTCACTTCTGCCAAATTCTATTGGTTGAAGCAAGGGACAAGGCCAGTCCCAATTCAACAAGGGGAGGAGCTGCAAAGTCCTATTGTAAATGGTGCAGATATAGGCAGGGGAAGAATCATGGCTCTTTCTGCAAACAATTTCTCATAGCTATGGTTAGCAACTTATAAAAAAAAGAAGAAAGAAGTTATCGAAGTAAAAGAAGGAGAGGTTAGAGGGTTTTGAGTCTAACTGAAGTTATGCAAGGACATTACTAGGAGATAATTCTTCTTAACCAGCATGCGTAAAGTGATATGACACCTGGTCATGCCATATCACTGTTAAAAGCAACAGTTTGTGGCATGAGTCAAGGCTTGCATGCTGCTGGAGTGAACAGAGTACTGTTTCCAATGTGTTCTGTTGTTTTGCTTCACTTTTTCCAGATCTGAGGAGAGAAGGGTCGCTTTCTCCAGTGAACTCGCAAAAAATCACCTTGCTGCTACAGTCCCCAGCAGTCAAGTTCATCACCAACCCTGAGTTCTTCACTGTGCTGCATGCCAACTATGTGAGTGCTCGGAAATGGGGGTGGGGGGGGCTAGCCTGGCACTGCCAAGACCCAAAACACAATTATAAAGCCATTCACTACATTAAAGAAGGGAGAATTTTATCCCAGGCCAAAACCCCAAAATCCAAAGACACACACACGCACACATACACACACACACACACACACACACACAAACACACACCAGCTCCGTCCACCATTTTCACTGTATGTGAGCTCCCAAAAGGAAGAAGGATAGATTTGGAAGTGCTATTGTCTCCTTGAGGTTTTGTTTGGCTCAAAGGTGTTACTATCAGTGAAAGTCTTTTGGAAACAAATATACTGTTTTATTATTTTCATCCGAAAGGAATAAGATTATAAAATGCCCAGATTCCTTTCAGCCTAAATCATTGAAGAAATTTTAAAATAGATTTATCCTAGATATAGAACTAGATTTCTTTTTGATACACTTTTTCAAATATCATGCTCAAGTTAAATTTGATATGATTTTACAAATACATTTATTCATTAATTTCATTTTGGTATTTTCAAGAAAGCAATGACTTTCATGGAAAAGTAGAATTAAAGTATGAGTTCAATTTGGTGCAAAAAAATTTTGAAATTTACATGTAGTTTTTTTATAATATGCATTTTCTATTATTTTTTGAAGACTCCTTGTATTTTCATTAATTCTTTAATTCAGCAAACATTTTCTGCAGTTCAGTCACAGGTCTAGTACTGGAGTCACAAAGACAGATTAGGATGGCGCCTAAATGGTAGGAGCTCTCCATTACGTGGAACAATGAAGTTGAAAGATTCAAAAGCATAGAAGTAGACAGAGCAACTAGATACCAGGGACTGCACAGGGGAGGAGGGGAAAGGAAAAGTGTCAGGAGAAAATGTTTAACAGACACAGGAATGCATGTAAACAAGGAAAACAGATTTTGCAACAGTATACCACAACAGCCTATAAAGAAGGGTATTGCCAATCTTATATATTGGATGGTTGGAAATGTCATGACATATTTTTCGGTTTTTCTATCCAAAAAAATGCATCATGACTTTTCTGACCACCCAATATATGCATAGCTAAAAAACAAACAAACAAACCTACCGGCCAGCAAATGCCGCAGAGATGACCTCACTGGACTCTCAAATGGACATCCGCAATTCGAGCCCCAGACCTGATGGCCTGAAAAATCACACCAGGAACATCTGTGTGCCCCAGATCTTAAGAGGAGAAGGGATTGTGGCATGGCCATCACCCCAGGGGGTGATTTCTCACTGAATGTGGTAATATCCTTGATTTGATTACCCACACTGCATCATGTTTTGAAAAACCATATTGTACTCCATAAACATGTACAACAACTAAATGTAAATAAGAATTTTTAAGGGAACCAGCAGTTAGCATAATGGCTATGTCGCTGGACTCCCACGTAGTCGACCGCGGTTCGCGTCCCGGACCTGGTGGCTTAGAACTCACGCCGGGCACGTGTGCATGCGTGCCCAAGATCCCGAGAGGAGAATGGAGGAGAAGGGATTGCAGCATGACCATCCCTCCTGGGGGGTGATTTCTCACTTTCTGTCTCTATGTCTCTCTCTGTCTGTCTGGCGAGCGCACACGCCCTATAGCGGGAAAAAAAAAAAGAAGAAGAAAAGAAATTTTAATTCTTTTTAAATGACAAAAAATTAAAAGATCAACTTAAAGTGAAAGGACAGGATTAGGGCCAAAGGAAGACAAAGCACTCTGGGAACCCAGGATCATTCCTGGGAAGGTAATGACTGAAGAGCGTAGAAGTCCAGGCAGAAGGATGAGGGCTGTGGTTGAGTCCGTTGGTGGCCCAAATGTGTGTGGCCATGTTGATGGCTGCTAGACAAAGAGGAGAGGCTGGAAATTGACCAGCACAGCCCCTGTAAGTCATAGAAAGGTGAATGGATCTACTTCTATAGGCAACAGGAAGCAGCAGGGGCTGCAGTCCCAGGTAGTTTGATGAAGTTAATGTAGGAGGAGACTGGAGGAGCTAAGGCCAGAGGATGATTCATCCATTCATGTGAGAAATAATCATGGCCTGACCTCAGGGAGCGTGATGAGGCCTGGGTCCATTCAGAGACATTTCCTATGCAATCAATAGCATTTGGGTCTCACAGGTGGGCAGAAGAGGACTCAAGAAAGGCTGAGGAGTTTCTGCTTGGGCACCTGAGATAGGTGGTAGTTCAATTAGATGATGGAAGTTATGGCTGGGAAAGGAGCAGATTATCTATAGCAGAGGATATTGAGACGCCTATGGGACATCCAGTGGGTAGCCATTGTACCCCTGGAGGTGCAATGGGAAGCCACCAAGGAGGAGCCAGTACCCTAAATATTGACGCCCTCAGCACTAGGGACCAGGTGGGTTCTGGGCCAGTAGAAGTTACCAGGCCAACTCTTCTGGGCTATAAACAGTGTGTCCTTTCTTGTAGAGGGCAGCCCCCCTTTTTTCTTTTATTAAAAATAATTATTTATTTAATTTTATTGACTATTATTGACTTTATTTACTATTAATTTGACCAGAAAGAGAAAAAACATGCCATCAGCTCTGGGACTTGAACCATGGTCGGCCACATGGGAGTCCAGTGCCTCCACCACCATGCCACCTGCTGGCCCCGTACAGTATGTCCTTTTATCACACACTCACACATACACACCAGCCCTGTGCACCATAAAATTGTCATGTGGCATTTAGAAACTACTAAAGCTCTTCATTTTTTCTCACACGCTCTTAAACTTTTAACCCACAAATTTTTACACAGGATTCAAAGGAATGACAGACCTCTGAAGCCCAGCCATAAATCTCAGGAACCCTGAGTTAATACCCACAGCATTGGACAGATAAGAAGACCAGAGGTGGGGCCAGCAGGTAGTGTGGTGGTTAAGGCACTGGAGTCCCCCATGGCCAGCTACAGTTCGAGTCTGGGACCTGGTGGCTTAAAAAATCACACTGGGCATGGGAACCAGCAGTTACCATAATGGCTATGTCACTGGACTCCCACGTAGTCGACCGCGGTTCACATCCCGGACCCGGTGGCTTAAAACTCATGCCGGGCACGTGTGCGTGCATGCCCAAGATCCCGAGAGGAGAATGGAGGAGAAGGGATTGCGGCGTGACCATCTCCCCTGGGGGGTGATTTCTCGCTTTCTGTCTCTGTGTCTCTGTCTGTCTGGTGAGCACACACGCCCTAAAGCGAAAAAATCTCTCCAAAAAAAAGAAAAAAAAAATCACACTAAGCATGAGTTGTGTGTTCCCAAAATCCTGAGAAAAGAATGGAGAAGAGATTATGTCTCCTATGGGGTGATTTCTAATTCTCCATTTCACTGTCTCTTTGTCTCTCTCCAGCAAGCACACAAACTATGAGGGGTGGAAAAAAAAAAATACTAGGAGGTCCAGATGATCCAAGAAAAGAAGGGGACATCACAGGTCCCATGGAAAATTTTTTTAAAAGTTAAAAAATAAATTAAGGCAGGCCTCTACAGTCAGAGAAGGAGCCATGGAGGAGCCAGATGAGCAATGCTAGAGAGGTGGAGCAGGGCTGGGAGAGTCAGGCATGGCTGCGAAGGAGGGAGGAGAATGCTAAGAGGCACCACAGGTCAACAGTGCTGGGGTTCCCTAACGTCAGGAAGAACTGGGTTCCCAAATAGGTCCATGTGTGTGGATAGTGTCTGTCCACTTCCTGAGCAAGATCTCTGCTTCTGAGGCTTCTGTCTTAGGTTCACCATAGGCCACCGTGTAGCCACTACACTGTGTCACGTTCAGGGGCTCAACTTGTACTTGGTCTGTGTTTTCCCCAATTCCCCACTCCCCACCCCTTGCACCCCTAACCTGTCTCAGAGTGCCTACCGAGTCTTCACTAGTAGCACCTGCTTAAAGCACATGATTCTGAAAGTCCGACGGGATGCTCGCAATTTCGAACGCTACCAGCACAATCGGGACTTGGTGAATTTCATCAACATGTTTGCAGACACTCGGCTGGAGCTGCCCCGGGGCTGGGAGATCAAAACAGACCAGCAGGGAAAGGTGAGTGCCCAGCATGTGGGGCTTCCATGGATGGCGGTGTCACCAAGGTGACGGGAAGAAGTGGGTGCTGTGAGGAGGACAGTCTGTGTCTGGGTGCTGTGCCATTGATCCCAAGAGGAGGGGAGGAGGGGAGGAGGGGAGGAGGGGAGCAGTAACTGCCCCCCTCAGGCTGCCTCAGTCTCGGCACTATGCCTGTCGGTATGTGTGGTGGGGCAGTGCACAGGGAATGTCCTGTACTTTACAGGAGGTTTGGCCGCACCCCTAACCATGCCTGCTAGGTCCCAACGGCCCTCCGCCACCCTTTCCTGCCATCGGAAGATGCCCCTGGGGAATGCAGTCACACCAGTTAAGAACTGCCATCTATCTCTTTAAATTTAGATTGAGAACGTGAAACCAGATTCTGTTTCAATGACCTGTCTATTTCTTTGTCTCCTTAGACATCTAATTCTCAGGGAATAAAAGTAAATGGGGGTGACATGGTTAGATTACTAGATTACGAGATTTTCTGATTTTCCTGAAAGGCTTCGATTCTCCTTAAAACAGCCTGACACACAGAGGTGAGGTGTACTGGGTCTGTGTGATGTTCCTAGCCTGCTTTTTGCCTCTGTGTGACCTAAACCCAAACCGGGGTCTTCCTAGGCATACTGTAGAAGCCTCACTGAGTCTTCCTCAGGGAGGATGTGTTCTTACAATCATTAGGCATCCCACTGTATTATGGGATAGGCCAAACAATGTACTAAAGAGTTGCCCCTGTGTAATCTTTCATGAACTCTCCTGGAGAGAACCCCTCTCTGTCGTGGTCAGAGGAAACAGGCTTTGCCAGCAGACATGTCTGGGCGGAAGGGGAGCTGCCTTACACTGCTCCTTTCCTCTTGACGATGAACCTGCAAAGCCAGGTTCCCAAACGGAGCTCAGGGGCATCACTGTCCCCTGAGCACCACGAATCCCTCTCACAAACTCCTTAGCACACCTGTGAACCCTTCCTCTCGGGTGTGCAGGGAAAGAACCTGTCCACTAAAGCAAGTCCTTTAGTGAAATGAATTCTCTATGCCCAGCTCCTCTGGAACCAGGGATGAACCGCGAGGAGTGGGAAGGGGAGGTAGAAAAGCCACCACAGCCAAGTCTTCTCAGGGACCTTGTTTACTGGAGGTGGCCTTCTCTGGGAGAATGACACCGTGTAGTGAGGACTTGCTGATATGTGTTAGGACGGGGAATAGAGCCTGAGCCAGTACAGAAAGCAACAGGGGTCTCTTGTAGCCACGTCCACTGCTATTGCCTAATCAAGAAGCCGAGGACACCACCCTGCATCAGCAAACAGGACGGCGGTGTTTGTCATGCAAGTGACGCCCGCTCAGGTGACAACTTTCTTAGCCTTGAGTTTCCAGGATAAAGGGAGACCCAAGGACGGCGGTGTTTGTCATGCAAGTGACGCCTGCTCAGGTGACAGCTTTCTTAGCCTTGAGTTTCCAGGATAAGGCACAAAGGGAGACCTGTGGAATGACAGGGAGGTCTCCAGATTTAAAAATCTCTGCTCTTCCCAGGTGACCATGGATGACACAGACGCCTCCTGGTCATCACATGACAGAGAAACATGTGGCCGAGGGCCACGTCAAAAGCTTCATTCCATTTTGAAAGGCGTGCTAGGAACTTTCTGGTGAAAGATCTTCCCCCTGATTCTGTTTAGTGAGAAGATACCTTATACAAGAAAGAAAAGAATGTCTGAGTCTGAAAAGAGAAGACTGAGTTTCACCTTCAGTTACGATGCACACTCTCCACGCAACTACTCACACACAAATGGTCTCGTTGATTTGCTCATTGGACATACACGTACACACACACACAAATCACAGAAATGTAAAGAGGCATATTGGAGTCCTGTGGAAAAGTAGCCTTACGTTTCATAACCCATAGGGTGGTCAGAGGGGAGCAGTGGGGGACAGTGGGGAAAATAGGAGTCAGAGGGCACCTGTGGAACTGGTGCATCTCATTCCAAACAACTGACCTGGGCAAGTCTTGTCACCCCTCTGGCCCTCCCTTTGCTTCCTGAAAGAGCAGCAGTAATGCTGCCTTCCTTCAGGGTCTTGTCACTAAGTGTAAAGAGCAAGTACGTGAGTGCAGGGATCCCTGACAATACCCTGGGGACCAGGACTATGTGCCAGTCTTTCTCCTAATGCCGTAGTAAATGTCCATGCAGAAACACAGAACCCAATGCAGCTGTAGATGAGGGAGATAAGAGAATGCCTCACTGCCGAAGCCCTTGGGTGTTGGCCATAGATTGAGAAGAATGTTCCTGGACTCCACCTTTGAACATGGAAAGAATGTGCTGCCCAGGGGAGCAGGCATTAGGAGCACAGCTCATTGAAAATCACAGCAGCAGTAGCTTGGTATGCAAAAGCCATCTTCATGGCTGTTCAGAGCAGGATCCAGAATGCCATATTCATCTTCTGTCCCCTCATCCTAGCCAGCTGGCTTCTGGGTCAACCTACACATCCAGAGGTGACAACCTTGTCTTTTGTCATGCGCCATGGCAGAAGGAGACCAGCAGGGGCAGAATTGTCTGGCGTGCAGTCATCCTGCAAAGGGAGACAGCAGAGGGCTCAGAGCTGTGCTGCACAGGAAACAAAGAACAGAATGGCACCTAACTGCTTTGTCGCCCTGAGAGTTGGAGAAAGGAGGAAGCAGTCGCCTGCCTGACGTCCGTGGAGACCACATACGGGCCTCACAGCTAGTTGCAGGTCTGAGCTGAGGGGTCCAGTGCCACCCAGGGGTCCTGTCTTGTAGCAAGCATGAGACTGAGGTGGACTTCACCAAGAAATAAACAATCGGATGAGGAGGGGCCAGTGAAGAGATACATGAAGTAAACAGGACCTTGATCTGAGGAAAAAAGATTCCTTTTCCTTTTTCCCAGAAAGCATAATTATTTTCAGAAAATAAAAAAATTTTTTTTTTGTTTCTCTTTTCTTTTTTGAGAGATTTTTGCTATAGGGCACATGCGCTTTCCATAGAATTAGAGAGACAGAAAGTGAGAAATCACCCCCTGGGGGCGGGGGGAGGCCAACCAACAATCCATTCTTCTCTAGTCTCCTCAGGGTTTTGTGCACACACACACACACACACACACACACACACACAGACACACACGCCTGGTATGAGTTTTAAGCTGGTCCCTTAAAGACGTTTTTAAAATGTACCTGCTTATCATCCACAAAATGGTACAGGAACACTTGACTTCTATTAAGCCAGAGAAAGAAGCCCGAGACAGAAAGTAAGCTAAGAAGTCAACACAAGAAAGCTGGTTGTTAAGGAAATGTAAGAACGTAGAGAAAGGGGCCAGCAGATGGTGTAGTAGTTAAGGCGCTATACTCTCACATGGCTGACTGCTGTTTGAGTCCTGGACCTGGCAGCTTGAAACATGCCAGGTGCATGCGTGTGCATGCCCGGAATCCCAGTAGGAGAATAGAGGAGAAGGGATTGCAGCATGGCCATTCCCCCCCCACACACACCTTGGTGGGGGGTGGCCTCACTTTCTCGTTCTCTCTGCCATGAGAGTGCATGTGCCCTATGGTGGGGGGGAAACTAATGTAGAGAAAAGCAAACAGTAATGACATAGGAATAAAGAACAGCACTGACACTGCCTAAAATCCTAAAATGATAGATGTGAACATTTCAGGAAACAATACCCGAAGAAGAAATAAGTTCAACCAATGCAACAGAAGGTTAAAACATGCAACAGCTGGAAAAGGGAAAATTCCGCTTATTTTTTCTGTGAGGTCTACGCAAACTACCCAGTTCAATACCGCAGCCTTCCTGACTCTCTAAACCCATGTTTCCCACTATATAATTTGCCTATTTTTAGGTTTACTGTCATTGTGCCTCCTGGCGGGATGTTAAGCTCCTTCAAAGCAGGGATCTTGGTTTTGCTCACTGAGGAAACCCAAAGGGGCAAGAAGAGTGCGCGCTACATAGCTGCCACTCAATAAATCTTTGCTGGATTCATGACTTACAGAAGTTCCTGAAGAAGAAAGCAGGACAATAGGTATAGCAGCAATACTTAAATACTAAATTTAATATCAATAAAATAAAATAAATATTAATTAAAAACAGCTAAAATAAACTATTCAAGTAGGCACTTTGATGAAGCTTATTGCAGTCTAATAAAAGTAATTAAATTCTATATTTATACATGTTCTGGAATATCTTTAAATGGAAATTTAAAAAAATTTTATCAGTATACAGTAGTCATGATGATATAAAATTACATATAAAAGAACAACCTTCAAATTTCTCCTCAAAAACAACTATAGAAATTCACAGGGCAATGACCACAAGGTATCGATGAGAAAAAAGTCACAGGCCAGTAGTTTTACAGGCAACTTGTTGTCATTCAAGTGAAGACAATAGAAAAAAACAACCTCACGGGGACCAGCAGTTAGCATAAAGGCTATGTTGCTGAACTCTCATGTAGTCGATCGTGGTTCAAGTCTCAGACCCAGTGGCTTAAACTCATGCCAGGCGCATATGTGTGCCTGTCTAAGATCCCAAGAGGAGAATGGAGGAAAAGGGATTGTGGCCATCCCCCCCCGGGGGGGGGGGATTGCTTCTGTCTCTTGCCCCCCCCGAGCCCCCCTAAAAAAAAAAAAAAAAAAAAAAAAAAAAAAAAAGCTCTCCAAAAAAAAACTACATGCAAGACCAAGGCCCACCCTACTTTTTTACCCATCCTGATCAACACCAAATACCATTCTCTGGATGAATCACTAAGGAAGCAAAACAAGAAACCAAAATGGAAAAAATATAGAAAGGGCTGGGAACTCAAATTAATCAAGTAGAGAAATACAAATAATTTTTGTTAAGAAGCATAAGATATATTAGAAAGTGTCAAACAAAATATGGAAAAAATCAAAATGGAATTGTTATATAAAAGCAATTTGGACTGATATGCCTGGACTGAAATGAACAGATAAGGAAGCAGAAGAAGGAAGGAGAAGGGGGGAAGGAAAATTGTGCTAAGTTTCTAGTTGGGTTAAAGAAGGTCAGATTGGATACTTTGAAAAACAAAGGCTAAACATAGCTTTTTGACAAAGTTAATAGGGAACTATTTGTAGAAGTTTTTCTCTTCCAAATTCTTAGAACAGATAAAATCAAGCAAAATATAGTTCGTATAGCAAAACACACATACCAAAAAAAAGAAAATGAAAATACTAAAAATAAGATCACAAAAGTAATGCCAAGCATAATAGTTTTGGCAATAGAAGGAAATCTTGCAGGATAAACTTACATACCAATAGAAAAAACGCTTTTAGATTTGGTAACAAACAGACTCAGCTTATAAAAAAACATACCAAAGAAATGATTCATAAAGTCTAAATATAAAGAATAAATGTTAATACAGTGTGAAAAAAAACTTAATCAGCAATGGTATCTTAATAACATACAAAGGAGAGTCTAAACCCATAACTGTTAAATGGGGTCAAAAAATGTTTATATAAATCAACGACATGGTTAAAATAAAGATACCAAAAAACCAATGGGCTAAATAACATCTTATGAAGAAACTTGGAAAAGTTTATGGAAAAACGGAGTTAAAATATGAGTTTATTTTGATGGAGTATATTTTCAAAGAATTTTTTTAAACATGCATTTTTTGGGTATTACACATTTCTCATGAACTTTTGAAGACCCCTTCTGTTAAATTAAAGAAAATACAAAGAAATATAAAAGGAAATAAAAGAAATGCAGTCCTAGTTGGAAAATGTATTTTATATTCATCAATTTGACAGATTAAATAGACAAAAGAGGTCAAGATTTGAAAAATATAATCTTATGTTAATAAAAGTTACATTAATTCTTTTGTTAAAAATAGAACTTATAGACTAGAAGGTGGCGTAATGGCTATGGTGCAGTACTCGCACATGGCTAACGACAGTTTGAGTCCAGGACCCGATGACTTGAAAATTACACCAGGCACGTTTGTGTGCATGCCCAAAATCCTGAGAGAAAACCATGGAAGAAGAGATTGTGGTGTGGCCATACCCCCCAGCAGATTCTTTCTCACCTTTCCTGTCTCTGCTTCTCTTGTCTCTGTCTCTCCTGTCTCTCTCCAGTGAACACACATACCTTATGGCAGAAACCTCAAAATAATAAAATAAAGCTTACGTAAGTGGATAAACAAAAGTGTTATATACATATAATGAAATACTTTTCAGCTTTCAAAGGGAACACAATTCTGACACATGCTACAATGCAGATACACCTTAAAGACATGCTAAGTGAAATAAACCAGACACACAAAAAGGAACTTTTACGTAATTCCAATTACGGTTACTTGACGTAGTCCAATTCATAAAGACAGAAGGTAGAACAGAGGTAAGTTAGGTAAGTTACAGGGGCTTGAGGAAGGAGGGAATGAGGAATTATTGTTTAATGGGTACAGTTTCAGTTCCGGAAGATGAACATATTCTGGAGAGGGAGAGTGGCGATGGTTACACAATAAGGAGAATAATGAGAACTTAACATCCCTGAACTGTATGTTTCAAGATGGTTAAAATGATAAATTTTATCCCATATGAGTTTTACCAGAGAAAAAGACAAAAATAGAGTTGGCAAATTCTTTTTAAGATCTTATGTTTTAAGTGGTAGCATTGACTGACATCGTTCAAGACTAACAGGTCTTCGTTAAACAGGGTACTTTGTTCGTTCAAAGGGGAGTAATTGAAAGATTGCCCTACTGTACAAAAGTTTGGGTGAGAAAAAAATAACCTTCTCTTTCATGAAAAGTAATTTTAGATTGAGAACTGTTGCCATGTATTGGAACACAGACACTTTTCAGATATGCCACATGGATTTACGTAAAGGAGTATGTAGTGAGTCATTATTTTAAAGCAGTAAAAGTGTCAGATCTCCAGCAATAAAGGGTACAAATGTTAATTATTACACATGCGTCAAACTTAATGCCGTATGCTCACTAGAATTCTGTGGTAGAGGAAATTTAGTACCTTAGGGAAATGCTTATATAATCATATGCCAAAAACAATAACATCGTACATTCTGATGTGGAGAAAATATGTATATATTTATATATGAATATAAGAAAAGAATAGGTTGGGAGGGAAAACAATGTATTTCAATGTTCATGATATTTGGGGTGACTTTAGTTATCTTTTTCCTATTGTTTTATACTTTCAAGTTTTGGGGATTTTTTTTTCCGTGAAAATGTGCTCATTCTATAATTGAAAAGAGTGTATCTTAAAAGTAAATAAAATGCAACCAGCTGGTGGCATAATGGTTCGGGCAACTGGATCCCACATCACTGTCCATGTGGTTCAAGTCCTGGATCAGGGATCTTGGAAAACATAGCAGGCACATGTGTGCATGCCCAAGATCCTGAGAGGAGAATGGAGAAGAAAGAATTGCAATGTGGCCCTCCTCCCACCCCAAGCTTGCTTTCTCACTTTCTCTCTCTGTCTCTCTCTTTCTCGCTCTCCAACGACTATACATCCCTTAAAGCAAATTTTAAAAATTAGAAAGAAGTAAAATTCTCTACAAAAGATTAATTACTGGCGTTTCTTTTGCTTTCTGTGTTGAGTGAAGCATTATGATCACTACTGAATAAGCTCCACAAACATTCAGCTACTGAGCAAACCATTCCCCATCTAGCTAAGTTTTGAGTAGATGTGAAAAAATAAATAAAAACAGGGTGGAGGCGGGCAGAAATAAACGTGATGACTAAGCCCTCCAGCATGCCCTACGTTGTGGACTCCAGTTTGACCCGTTCTCACAGTGTGCTTTGTTTACTGCTCTGTCTGCAGTCTTTTTTCGTGGACCACAACAGTCGAGCTACCACTTTCATTGACCCCCGGATCCCTCTTCAGAACGGTCGTCTTCCCAATCATCTGACTCATCGACAGCACCTCCAGAGGCTCCGAAGTTACAGTGCCGGAGAGGTAACACCACCCTACCCTACTGTTTGCAGTGCACAGTCTGCCTTGTCCGTGGGGCAAGAATTGTTTCCGAGTGGCCGAGAACTAGGGTCGCCTGCTCCATAAGAGGCTAAGGCGTATGAATGCTTCTCTGTAGAAGAACAAATAATGGCTCTGGGACACCCAGTCCCCTCCCTAGAATTGTCTTCAGATTCTCTTCCTCTGCCTTTTCTGTCATTCAGCATAATCGCCACCACTAAAAATGTGTCTGGTTGAAAAGACAGAATTCACAGGGTCAGTAGACTGCTGTACTTAAGGTTGGCTCTGTGCTTCTTGAGGTCGACCAGTCACGTGTGAATTCGTGGAAGACAGGGCAGTGTGTGACTGACCAAACTTTTCCTCCCCATACGATTCTCAAAAAGACTTCAATAATGCGTGTCCGGACTAAGGCCCGGGGAAATTAACCAGGCCGCGGGGATGTTCTACTCCCAGCTTCCCATGTGCTCCTCTCACATCTTCTTTCACTCCCTGTGGTTACCACCTGTTGACCCACGAGGACCGTCTCCCGAAGACCACTATCATGGCCTTTCCGAACTACTGTCTTTATAGCCCATGTCCTTTCCTATCCTCCTTTCTCAAGCCAAAATGCAAAACAGCTCTTTTCTATTTCAGTCAGCACCTGACAATATTATAAGCAAATCCCTCTTCATGTCCTGACTGACATTGCCCAAGTATCTGTGCCTTCTTTTCATAGATACGACTACGATCTCAGGAGATGTGGCATCTGAGAACCACTTCCGAGAAAACAGCTTGGTGAAATGGATTACGATGAAGTAAAAAATGTAAAGAGTGGAATGTGGGAAGGAAAGGAATATGTTGGATATTTCAAAAAGTTTAGCGCAAAAGTCAATTAGAAATTCATGCAGCGTGTTCATAATATGCATTTTCCATGAACTTTTTGAAGATTCCAGCATATATTCCCCCAGACAGTCATTCCAGAGAGAACTGTGGTGGACACTTCAGGAGACACTGGGGAGGCAATAATCCACCTGACAGCCCTCTCTTCCAGAAGGCAGACATAAATCTCCAGGGAAGAGCCTGTTGGATTGACACCAATTCCTTCCTTCCTTTGGGGCTAGTGCTCTGTATGCTGTGGGAGATACACCTGTTTCCAACCAGCTGCCCTGGAGCCTTAATGCCCGTGTGAGAAGTTGAATTATTCTTGGGCTGACACCATAGCCTGGTGGTTTAGGGAGCCAGTCTCATACAGCTGACCACAGTTTGACTCTCAGCCCCAGTGGCTTGAGAAACATGCTGGGTTCATGGACAGGCATGCTCAAAATCCAGACAGGATGTTAAGATGCTGGAGAAGGGATTACAGCAATGACCATGCTCCATTGGGGGTGCTTTCTCCCTCCCTCTCTGCCTCTGGCAAGCACACATGTTCCCTGGCAATTGGAAGAAAAAAGATTAATTTTTCTTTTATGAGATCATCTTAGGTTTCCCTGTTTCAGGATACTGCTAAAAGTGTATTCAATCTTGCTCTCTGCACACACATGATGTACATATGTGGCCATGCACAAGGGGAGCATTAGACACCCTGGAGCACCATATGGGTGTGGGCAATGTGTTCAGACGTGTTCACAGACTGCAGAAAGTAATGCCCCATTGCCCAGCGCATAGTCCTACTCCCACTCTCACGGCTCTCCAGAAAGCACAAGGAATATTGCCTTGAGATAAAGCTGGACACATGAAAAGTTCTGCATCACCTTGAAATACACCACTTTAACTTACTGAAAATGCCCAAGCTCTTTAGTATTAAGGCAATTTCCATATTAACAGGAGGTAACTACGTGCAATAAAGAAGCTAGCACTACAGACAGATGCACTATCGATAAAATAAAAATGGCAATTGTCCAATGGTAGGCAAACTCCCTAAAGATTCAGATCTCTTACACTTAAGAGAAATTACCTCAAAGATATAAATAGTAAAATATTTTCTAGGGACCAGTAGATAGCATAATGGGCATGTCGCTGGACTCCCACGTAGTCGACCGCAATTCCAGTCCTGACCCAGAGGCTTAAAACGCACACCAGACACATGCGCGTGCATGCCCAAAATCCCAAGAAGGGAACGGAGGAGAAGGGATTACAGCATGTCCATAATCCGTTGATTTCTCGCTTTCTGTTTCTCTATTTGTCTCTTGGGTGAGTGCATGTGCACTATAGCAAAAAACCTCTTATGAAAATCTGTTTTCTGACTGAGAGTACTAGATGGAGACCATGGATACCATTTGTGCTGCTTGTTTTAAAACATTTGTCTGTTGAGACTGTGCAGCTCAAATAAAGCTAAGTTAATACCAACACGAAGGGCACCAGGCCATCGGCAGCAGCCAGGAACTAGCTGAAACACTAACCTGTGACGATGAAAGCGCGTTCTCATGCCTCAGATCTGTTTGCTTCCTAATGGATCCACTCCCACCATTCATTGGATTTTGCAAACTCCTTCCATTCCTGTGCCCATCTGTTTTCTGGTAGCGTTGGACTAACGTGAGGGAAAAGCACCATGGAGAAAGGCTGGGAGGCAGAGGCTATCCAGTCCAGAGAAAACAAGGACCCAGCCGCTAAGCAGATCAACATCTGCATCCTCCTCCTGTGAGGGCCCACAGCCAGGGAAAAGGAGACAGGAAGAGCTCTGTGGCCTAACAGCAGCAGAAAAGGCAGTGGGAAATGTTGGTGTTCGCAGTGATGTGAAAAATGAACAGTTACTGAGTGCATGGATCGCTATAATACTGTGGAATGTGAAAGTGTGAGAAGATCACTGCCCTGGAGAAGGTTACGTTCTACTTTTGAAGTCAGGCCCAAAATGCATGCAGAGTTAAGTAACATGAGAAAGCAGAAGATGAGCAGGCCTTCAGAAAGTTCCTGGAAAATGCATGTTATAAAAAAAAAAAAAACGGATTCTGCTTTTTGAGGGCAACAAAATAAACTCATACTTTACTTCTGTTTCCCTATGAACTTTCTGAAGTGCCCCTATGATTTAGTGCCGAGAGAAGATAGAACAAGAGCCAGAGTTCGAAAGAGGCCAAGGAGAAGTATCTTTTAAAATGAGTCCTTTTACCTGACCTAGAACTTGAAAGTTGGTAGAATCCTCTGGGCACAGAGGAAAGGCGGCCCCAGAGAGAGCACAGCAGAGGTGCAGGTCGGAGGTAGGAATGAGAAAGGTTTGTAGAGGATCTGTGAACAGATTAGTGTGACTAGAACGGTCCGTTCCTACTGGCAACGTCCACGTTTTGGAAAAGCTGTGAATGCTACACAGTAGAGTTGGGACTTTTCAAAGAACCCATTCAATGGGGCCAGCAAGTGGCTCAGTGGCTAAGGCACTGGACTCCCACATGGCCAACCGCGATTCGAGTACCAGACCTGCTAGCCTGAAACTCACACTGGATATGTGTTTGTGTATGCCCAAAATCCCAAGAGGAGAAGAGAGGAGAAGGGACTGCAGCGTGGGGGGTAATTTCTCACGTTCTCTCTCTGTCTCTTTCTGTGTCTCTGGCAAGCTCACATGCCCTATAACAAAAATCTCTCTCTAAAACACACAACAAACCCATTGAATGAATTTTAGTAAAGTGAAATGGTGATTTTTTTAATAAAAATGGGATTTTAGAGATTATTTTACCCATTGTTTCTTTTTTCATGGTTTTTTTTTTTACAATTTAATGTACTTCAACAGCAAACTTATAGAAATAGCGAGGAGACGGACTTGTATACATTGAGAATATGCATTCGCATGCAGAAGAACTCAGTTAGAAACGTATAGTGAAGGGGTGGAGTCCACTGTAGGATAAAAATGCTTCAAACACAATTTAGTTGCCATCCGTAAGAAATATACTTGTTTTTAAAAAGTTCAAATATTGGCATTGTCCAAATTTTCATTTATAAGTTGAACTGCTGAAACTGGTATGCGTAAGTGCTTTACGATCCCAGTGGATTCTTAAAAATCACACACAAATGAAAACAGAAGAGTGCCAATACCCGTCCCCTATTTCTCCACTCACAATCATATAGGTAGATACCTTTTCACCCTATGGGAAAAAATTCAGAACTACCAGTAATAGGAAAACAAAAGAAAAAATGTTTTGCTTGTTTTTTAGAATGGTATGTTTCCCACGACAGTGTACTCTTGAGCACGTTTTCATGTATGCAGTTCTTGGCATGCTGACTGGATGGCTTTCGGCATAACTGTTACACATTTGGCACGGATAATGCACGGGTTGGTAGCTTCAAAAAGGCCAACCAGATGGGCCTTATCTGCCTCCTGCTAAGCACCAATAGCTCTGCTCTGGAAGCACAGGTCTGTTTCGAAGTCCACAGCAATATTTTGCACTGGGTACTGGAAAGAACGTTTGCAAATCAGTTCAGTGGACTTTGGCAACATCTCATTTCATGGAGTGCCACCAGTACCAGTCCCGTCACAGTGAGATGTCCTCACCCCTCCAGTAGAGGGCACACTCTTACAAACAGCTTCTGTAAACAGTTGCTTCCTGGGTGCTTTGCCAGCTGCTTGCTTTGTACCTCCCCCAGGACAGAGACCTTCTCACTTACCTCCTTTTCCTTAGGCTGGAGCCCCATGAGCAGCAGCTGCGAACACAATTCCCCAATTTTTCTTTACAGGGAAAAATAGTTGGCGTTTTGAACAGGCCAATTCTCCAATGCGTAGGACTGTCCCATAGCCATTGCAGAACGTTTCTTCCCTGATCTCATCCATTAAATGCCAGTCATTAAGATAATGAAAACAAAACAAAATCTCCTGTACAAATAGTGATTCTCTAGAGAAACTGAGCCAATAGGATGGAGAGATAGCTAGCTAGATGATAGACAGATGAGAGGGCATTTATTGTGGGAATCGGGCCATGTGACTATGGAAGCTAAGATGGCTTGTGGCATGCTGTCTACCAGCCAGGAAATCAAGAAAGTAGTAGACCAGCTCAATACAAGCCTGAAAGTCTGAGAGCCACCAGAGC